GGGGTGTCGGGAGTGGATAATTTTGTTTGGTCAAAAGCCACCCTCCCTGTCCCAGCTACTGGTGTAGGGGCCAAAGCAGAGGAGAATGCAGGTCCTAAGATCAGGCCCACTCCCGGGGAAGCAGGGCAGCTGGGGACATGTCGTTTTAGGAGATTTTGCCAATGTCAGGGATTTTGTCAATGTCAGGTTGAGCAGCACCTTCTGACCCTGTTGTCTTCCTGTCTCTCTCTTTCTCTCCACCAGGTTGTTGCTGAGACCCTGGTGAGTGCCTGCCCTTTCGCTCCTCAGCCTTCTGCATGGTTGAGGGATGCTGCGGTCCTTGGGTGTGGGGCTGGGGCTGGGAATGGCGGCCCTGTGTGCTGGGCTCCTCTGACCACATGGGCTGTGCTCGCTTGCTCGGTCCTTGCATCAGGATGGGTGGCAAGGGGACAGAGGAGACCTGCAAGAGTGCTCTTCCCCGCAGCAGTAGGCAGGAGAGAGAGAAAGCCATCTTCCTTCCCTTGGGACAGCGGGGGACCAATCCTGCCCACTGCCTGCATGCAGGACCTGTGTTCCTGGCAGCATGGGACTCGGGACTGGCTTCCCTGGCTCACCGAAAGTGGGAATTGGGGAAGGGGCAACTTTCTACTGCAATAGGCTAATGGGTGTGATGAGTGCAGTGGCCCCACTGGGCTGTGCCACAGCGGTGGCAGCCTTCTGAGCCACGGGCAGCACTGCTGCAGCCCAGGGGGGAGGGTGGCTCCTGTGTCTGGCAGCTCTGAATTCCCTGTTCAATATTGGTTATCCCCAAAACACCCTCCCCAAAAGACAAAAAAAAATCTTGACCACAAGCATTGCACAGCTTTTCTCATAAAAACTGGAAATCATTTTTTCTTAGAGGTAGTGTGTGAGCATGCAGCTGTGCGCCTTCGCTCCATGCATCAGAAATGGCTTTTTTGGCCAGAAAAAGCTACTTTCCTGCTCACAAGAGGCCACCTTCTTTGCAAGAGGGTGTTCAGGACTGGCTGTCCCAGAAAGAGCTCTTTGACATCTTTGCCCCTCTCTGCTACACCCGTCCCCCTGTCTGCCTCTTCACTCTCGGTTGCTCTTTCAGAAACTTGCTGACGTCTCCAGCAACGATTCCAGTGACTCCCTGGAGACCCGCTTTCTCAGCATCCTCTGCACCCGCAGCTACGCCCACCTCCGCAGAGGTAGGACCACATTTCTCCATTGCTGCTGGACCCTCAGCTGCAACACAGTGCTTTGATTTGGGCTGGATGGGACTCCTGGGCAGCAGGAGGTTGGGGTGGCCCTGTTTCCCCAGTGGCGGGAGGAGATGGCATTTTGAGGTGGCTGGTTGAGGTCACTCAAGCCTGCTCTGGTCTCATCTGGTCCAGAAGTCTCCATGGTTCAGGCTCGGGTCTCCTGGGTGCCCAGGGCTGGGATGGAGCAGCTCGGCAGTGACCCTCTCCTCTCCCCCATCCACAGTGTTTCAGGAGTTTGTCAAACTGACCAACCATGATGTGGAGCATGCCATCAGGAAGCGGATGTCTGGAGATGTGAGGGACGCCTTCTTGGCCATCGGTCAGTGCCCGGCGGGTGCTCCCTTGGGGCCAGGCTCCCCAGAGGACAGGCAGCCCCTTCATCTGCCTCTGCCAAAGCAACATGAGG